AGGGAATGCCTTCCACTGCTCTCTGACTGAGCAAAGCTTGAGATGGCTCTGTGCTCAGCTCCTGTAGATAGCTACACTCATGAGCCTTCATCTTGTCCAGGTGCTAATCTTCTGTCCTGGGTAGGGTCACCCCTGTCAGGCAGCTTGTCCTCCTGCCCAAGTGCCATGTCCCAGCATCTGCAGTGGTTCACCCCTTCGTGCACTTCCTCTGTTTGCACAGTGGTTACAGAAATAATTTTTGCCTGCATGACTTAGGTTCCAGAAATGCAGGCTGTTATTGTGATTGTTAAATAAAAGTGAAGCTGCAGCTCAGTACTGAGGGTGAACTATTCCCCTAGACAGATGTGGTAACTATGTCCATAACTCTTAGTCTTCTGAGAGGTTGAATTGGTCTGTGAAATTAATGTGGTGTGTAAGACAACTTGAGGTAAAGCCACCCTCTATAGCAAACTTCTGAGCAGCTTCACCTGCTCTAAATGTTTCAAGCTTTTTTAACTAATTTTCAATGTAAACCTTCCAAAATGCCATCTCTTTCCGTGATTCTGCTGACAACAACTCCTGGGGGTCTTCTGCAGTGGTATGAAAATTATAAGCCCTGCCATTTGCCAGTCTGATGATGGGCCATCTGCATCAAGCCAGATGCTACTGTGTTCATCCTTTAGCTCCTCCTGTCTTGGGTTGGGTATTTTCACAGCTAAGAGTTGATCAGATGCGCTCATCTGCATTTTGTGAGCCAAGGAAAGATTCTCAACATCTGCAAGAACTCTGCCCTGCCCTTACAGGGAGGGTGGGGAATCCCAACATTTTGTAACCAGATGGTTTTGGCTGATTTCTGGCTTTAATCATTTCCTCTTGGCAGAGGACTATCCAGCTCTCTGCGCTCTCTACCGGGAACTGACTCATGGAAATGGAGTTTTCCCTCAATGCATTGTGAGAGCAAATATCTATGTGTATTTGAAGAAGCTAGTGAGGTAGTGTGCAGGTGATGAAGATTTCTAAATGTAGGGGAAAACCCCATATTTGGCTGTTTTGAATTAAGCATCTTGTTTTATGCATCAGCCATTTGGAGATTCATCTATTCTAAACTAGAGATTTGTCTCCCTTATGGCTCGCAAACTGTAAAGCTGAATGTTGTTGCTTTACAGAGGTAAGTGATAGCAGGGAGTGGATAGAGCTGATTAGATACCATGGAGATAAGCCTGACATAAAATTCAAACCTTAGTTTTGCTGTCAGCTCTGTGCCCTCTGTTAGTACATAATGGCCTTAGGCATCATCATCAAGGCTTGAATTTGAGATTTGTGGATCTAAAAGCACAACCTGCTATGAGCTGGAGGCTCAGGAAGGCGAGTGCACTATGAGCTAACCTGAGGTGAAGCATGTTTGCATAAGCCACAATGAAAAAGATTTAAGCAAATACATTTGTATCTCACTTTTGTGATAGGCTAAGTGTGCAGTCTGCCACTGCAGCTTGGCTGACAAACAGTGTCTTCCTGAGCTGTAGCAGCTAATCAAGTATCTGAACTGTGAGTGGAGGGCACATTGTTGTTACCGTGCGACTGAACAGCCTCAGTAATTGACATCCAGGCACAAGGAGACAGAGCTGCAGTAGGCAGAGGTTCAGAATATTTGACGGAAGTCCAGTTGAATGGGAATCCAGGCATTTGTGTATCAAGGGGTCTCACAGATGGATGTCTCTGTTACATCAGAAGTGTTGTGGCAAACCAAGCTCTTTAAATTACGTGGCGTGTCACCTGTTCTGTCAAAAGTTGGGAGTTTTTGCATGCTGTTTGTTTTCTGTCACAGGATTAACTACTCCAAAATCAGGGCTTTCTCAGTATCCTCAGGAAGTTATTTCCTACTTTTAAATATTATTGTAATAGGAAATTTTGTTTGATCTCAAGCCTGAGTTCATCAGTTCAATTTTATCCTCTTATCTTTCTGGATAAAAGGAACAATGGCAGGAGAAGTAGTATTTCTTGCATTGAGGTTTGGAGGCATGGTACCACCGTTGCCCCTGCTGTGGAGGAGTTGTCTTCGGATGGACAGCTGGATGGACAGTCTTCGAAGCAGTGATGCCTTGCCCTTACAAGCAGGAAATCTGCTGCCTTTGAGATGTGTCGTTTGTTGACCTCCTGACTGATCTTTGATGTTTTTAATTTGAGACACATCCCAGTGTATCAGATACATGTGCAGCTACAGCCCTAGAAGATTATCTGTATGCTGCTGCATGTGGACAGGCTGTGCCCAAGGCTAAATCCTATATTAGCTGACAAGCAGGTGATGTGCAGGGAAAAAATGGGAAGTACAGAGGGTGTTTGTTTGGCTCCTAGGGCTGAAGAAATGGCAGTCTGTGCTTGGGAACAAAGACAATTTGCATTTAATTTCTCTGGGCTTCAGTGCTGGCAACAATGGTAGATGTTCATGTGTAGCATTGAAGGCCTGCAGGGCTGGGGCTGAATGGCCGCCTTTGTTCGGGGCTGGGGCAGCAGGAGCGCTGCAGCCTGGACTGAAGCTCTGTGTCACAGAGCGTGGCCACAGGCAGGAGGTGTGGAGAGGGAGAAACTGGCTGCTGGTAAAGCCTACCCCATCTCTCCTCCTGTCCAGGGGAGGTGTTTGGCAGCCTTGGGATGTCCTAAAGGGAAAACAGTGCCATCCTCCAGTGGCTGCCCTGGGGGGTTGAGATCAGTGCCTGTCCATGCTGGTGTTCACTTCTGCTCTGCACTGACAAGGGAAGAAGGGGTTGGCTACAGCTCTTCCCAGAGAACTATGGGCAGGGGTCTTTCAGGAGTAAGCCAGGGCACGCACAAGCTGCATCCTGCTCCTGCAGCTCCTTGGGTTCCACTCAAGGGATTGAAGAGTCCTAAATCTAACCTGACTGGGAGATGGTCACCGCCCTAGAAGAAGCCTTCTGAAGGTGGTGAAGGATGGTAGGGGTGGAGACAGAACGTGAAGTGTGGTGCAGAGACTTGTTCCTTTAGCAGACACCTGAGTTCACCCAGGTGTTAAGTGGTGGATGCCGCCCCAAACTTTGTTGGAGCAGGCTTGGCTCTGCTTTAGCAGGCAGTTAACTTGTCATGCAGCTTGGAAAGTCCCTCCCCAGGGACTCCAGACACCCCTGGATTGTGAAAAGCATATGCCCTCAGACTGGTGGCTAGCAGCCACAGAACACGTTGCTGTATTCATCAGCAGTGTTCTCTTCCCCACAGCCCCAGAAGTCCTTACTCATTGCAGTAGCTGACTGTCTGACATGAGTACCCAAGTGGGAGCTTGTCTGAGACCACCTCCAGGCAGCAGGTGAGAGGCTTCTGGTTTCTTACCAAAAGCAATTTGAAGTCTACTGTTTTCTGCAGTAGGTGGGAGGAAAGTGTGGGATGTAGGATCCTGTTCTCTAGGTCCACAGGGAAATGGTGTTTGGCTTGGGGATTGACCGTGCAAAACTCTGACTTAGAAACCTGAGCTTCTCCTGCCTCACCTACCCCATTGTGCAGTGCTCACCATGCCAGCTGAATAAGATGTGGTGTTAATTGCTCTGTGTGCTCCTAAGCTTCTTTCCATGGCTTTCAGGAAGCTGATTAAAAGAGTGAAAGTAAAGTGGGGATTAATGGGATCCTGGTGAAGGCTTGGGGGGAAAAAAAAGGAAATTCCTTGGACGGGAAAAAGAGGGATATGAACAGCTGACAGCAAGCCTCTGCAAACAAACCGGGAGAGTTAGGCAGCAGATGGACTAACACTCTCTGGGCTTGTGCCAATGCATCAGATTGATTTTAAAGATGAAGCACCCACTGCCTGGGAAAGCAAGACCTTCGAGTAGGAGCTCTTCCTGGCAGCTGTTCAAACACTAGCTGCTTTACAGTTCACTCTCGGTGCACCAAGGGACAGTGAGAAGCACTGGGGACTTGGGATATGAAATATGACCAGTGGGAACTATGGACCAATAAAGGAGTTATTTTTGTAGGGAGGATTGCATGGAAAATAATGTCCAGTTGCTCAGAAATGCATAGTGTGCAAATTAAGAACTGGGAGTGATCAAAGGGCCATCAAGTCAAACTCTGTGCCTCCCAGCATGGTGAGTGCTAAATCTTTCAAGCAAAGGTGAAGATTTCTCTGGAGTCCAGTTCCAGAGGGGAATTATTTTGCTGGGCCTCAGCTGTAGACCTTGCTGATCTACTTGCTGTAGATCAGCTTATGTCATGAGGTATGACTGCTTCCCTAACTAGATGTGTTGCTGACATCTCCCCTGATGTGTCTGAGCTGAATTCACAGGGTGCCTTGGTGATGGGCTTGGATAAGTACAAATGCCTCCTTCTCCCACACCATAATTTTCCTTCTACAGAAATTATATGAACCAGAGTGCTTTTTTTTCCCCTCCTGCCTTTTTCTCAAAATTAAATAAAAACCTTCCTGTTCATGAAAAAAATCCAACTGAATAATAAAACATGTGAAAACTCCTAGGTGAAATAAGCATTTTCACAGCAGTTCATTCCATCAGATTATATATTAGATATATGTAATATAGCCCAATGGTCCACCTAATTTATGAAGGTTCTTCCATGGTTCTCCCTCTTAATTTCCCATTATATATAATTTGGTTCTTTTTTAAGTCTGCCATACACTGTTTTTATGATATGCATGACAAGGAGACACAGTCACAGACCCTGAGCTGGTGCCAGCTTCCACATCTTGAATTGCCCCTTGAACATAAGCTTATACAAAAGTTAATCAGTTTTTAGGCTGATTGTACAACATGTGCAGTTGTGATTAGAGACTATATTTAAGACTTGGCTGCCAAAAAGACTTCAGCAATGACAAGCTTACAAGTATTTCAGCAAAAGGCTGACACAAATGTGGGGTGGGCTGGGAGTGCCACACAATTTATACTCTGCCCTGAGGAAATGCCACCCCCCACCCTGGCACAGCACCTCCCTCCGCCTCTGTTGGTGTTGCAGCAAAGGGTACTTGTGTTTGTCATCCTGCCTCCTCCTCCATCCCAGGGTTTCTGATGCAATAGGACCAGAGTGAGAAAGCAAGTATGATGCAGCAGGCCTGGCAAAGCACAGCTGTGACAAAAGGAAAAAGTACTCCGGGGCTGGCAGCAGGTCTGATATCAGGGATTTCAGGGGCGCAGAGATGTAGAAAGGTAAAGAGAGAGCAGCATCAGCTGCTAATTCCCATGGATGAAGAGTTTCCTGTTCCCCTCACTGCGTTGCATGTTGCTTGCAGCCAGAATAATTTGGAGAAAACCAATATCCAGCTGTCGCTCAGAGGTTGGATGGGCTGTGTCTTGATGTGTGCGATAGCGTGTCTTGACTTTGGAGCAGCCGGGGTCTTGTTGAAGCAAGAGAACCTGATCGGAGAGGATTTGCAGTCAGATTTTCAGCTGTAAGTTAAGACAAACTCACTCCTGTTCTCTTAGCTGACAGCCGTGAGTCTGGGAGCTGGTGACTTGGCCTTTCACTGCCGGGGTGTTTGTTCAGATGTACTCCACACAAATAGCGTGACAGGGGCTGACAGGTTCTGCCAGCTGCTTGGGCATTTATGACATTGTGTAAAATAGACGTGGTGCTCCCTAGAAAGTCATCAGGAATTTGGCACAACTACCACCAGGCTCAGATGAATATCACATAAGCATTCACTAAATGGGCATAGATCAAGATTTATCCAGTTGGATGAGAGGTTTGAGTATTCAAAATAGCATCCCATCAACCAAAGCTCTCTCATTCTGCTTTGCTACAAGACTATTGATAAATATTAAAATAAAAGTTATTTCCCCCAGTGGAATCTTCTGTTGTAACCTGCCAGTTTTACACCCCTGACTTCAGTGCAGCACCATTGGCATGGAGCTGTGATATTTTGATGGTGAATCTAGTCCTGCATTTGCTTTAGCAAATGAATTGAATGGATTTCTAGAAGTGGAAATGTCATAGTAACTGATGGGAAATGCATCAGGTGAACAGGTAAGAAATGACAGGTTTCATGACTGATAGCCAGGCGTGTTAAAGATGTGGATATTTACTTGGCAGGGATTGTTACTAAAACAAAGCATTTTATATTTCATGTAAAATAAATGCAAACATAAAATTATTTTGTTTTACTTTCTCCTCTGCCAGTCACTGAGGACACTTGATTTCAAATGCTGCCTTTCTGCTCGGAGAACAGAAATGTTTTCTGGACAGACCCTGGGGCTAGGAACACCAATGTCAACCTGGAGTCATGCCTCAGTGCGGTCCACGGAATTTCTTTGCATTTACACCAGCACTGTAGATGAGCTTCTGGCTCACAAAAGCAATCAAAGCTAATCGATATGGCTGGAATTTGAAATTTCAGATGGTTCTGTTGAATGGTTCATGAGCAATCTACAAGCTCGGAGTTATTTGCGGAAAGTATCCAGCAGTTAATTTCAAATCCTATATACATTTGAGATGTTCATAAGCTACTTGCAGACAATTTGCAAACAGAAAAAGAGGATAAAATTCATCAAAATAAATGATCTGCCATGAATTATTCATTTGGTTTCCATCAGTCATGCCAGCTCTCTCCCTTGTTGTTAGTTTCTGCAAAGAGATCAGGGATTGAATTCAGCTTGGAGACAGAAGCATGCTTTCACCCCTAGAGGTGCTTCGGCAGAGCAGACCTGCGGCGTGTAGGTGATGAGAATAAGAAAGCTTCTGTGGCACACAATATTCCATTCTGTGGAAAACAGCAGATTTTAGCCAGCAGGGCTCTCAAGCAGGCTGCTTCTGCGAGGACTGTTTTTAAACAGAAAACCCCAGCTACCGAAACAAACCCTGAGCTTGAAAGGGAGAAGAAAAGAGAGAACTGCGGGTATCTGATGTTAACAGGAAAGGTGTCTGTCAGCCTAAAGTACCAGCAGGCTGAGGGTAGCTTTGCCTTTTAAAGCGGGAGGGAAGAGTACGGGTGAAGTGAAGTCCAGACCACTGAGAAGAAAAAGCAGGTATCACCTCACCTGAGAATGTTTCAGGCACCAGTGTGGTTGCCTTCCTTGCATACATAATTGATTTATAGTCATGAGAACTCTCCCGTACTGAGCAGAAAACAGACAGAGGAGCTAAGTGGTGTCTGAGCAACATCTTGGAGAGAGTGGGAAGGCTCTGTACCCCTTGATTCATGTAGTGGAAACTATATCCAGATACAATTTTTTTGGGGGAAAAAAAGCAGATAATTAAAAGGAAAGGTCCTCATTCACTGCCATTTTGTTCAGGTTTACAGCAGAGAAATATAGCTGACACCAACTGCATTTTGATAAATGGCATTGGCATAGCACAAACAAGAGCACTAAGAGTAAATAAGCTGTCTTACATTTAAAAAAAAAGAAAAAAGGTTGAGTTTAATTCAAAAACAATATGTGTAGCACCATAAACCCTCAGCACTCAATGGGCCCTCATATGAGGCTCTTATAATCTGGATTTAGTTGCAGTATGGATGTATTATCCTTGTTCTTTCAATAAAGGCATTGCCATGCTGCATGCACAGCAACAAGCCAGACCCAACTCTCCAAAGCCTCAGACCAGTGCCTGAGGTGCTATGTTACAGCTTTTACTATTCATAAAATGGAAATAAATGGGGCATAATAGAGTTTAGGGAACTGAAATGTCACGTAGCTGAAAAAGGGCGTCTAGCAGCACAACTGATAAGAACGTCTGTTGAAGCACTCTCTCTGCACTTCAGTTTACATCTTACACTTTGCTGCAAGCCCTTTCCTTGAGAACCCTCAGCAAGGTTTAATTTAGACAAGTGCACCTGTCGTCTCTGGCCTGTTGCTTCTGGTGCTGGCATAGTGCAGACAGCTTGCTGGGGCTGAGCGGGAGAGCCTGGGAGAGCTGGGGCTGCGGGCAGCTGCCTCCCAGTGCAGGCATGGCTTCTCATTTGAGTGCTGTTTTGGAAAGGAAGGTCTTGTGTGTCTCCAGGAAAGAAAGGCAAGTGTCTCAAAGAAAGGTCATATGGAAGAAATGCTGATTTAATTTTTAATAATCTTGCCTTCCTTGCAGCAGGTTAGAAGCAGGCTCATACAGCCAGGTAGTTGTACTGGAGTTCATTTCCCCTCTATTTTAAGCTTTTACTTCAGTCTATTTGACCTAAAAATGATCCTAATCTACCACATACAGAGTAAGATGTTTTATTTTAGAGTATGTTATGTGCACACAGCTTCAAGATCTTAACAATCTCTTGTCACCTGTCTCAGGCAAGCTAAGGGGAGGGCTCAATAGGGAGCTGGTCAGCTGATTGCACTGGGGTCACGAGACATGAGGCAGCTCCTGTTTTTATGGGGCTACCTGCCCCTGTCTGCCCTGTTCTGTCACCCCTTTCCAGAAAGGCTCCCTGGCCCCAGAGGCCACCTGGTACAAGCAGGGGTTTGGCTGAGAATGCAGCAGCCAGAGAGAGAGGGAGAGGAATAAATCCCGTTACAGAGTTCATTCAACCAGGGATTCAACAGGAGACTAAAATGCTCAATTTTTAAGATTGCCAAAAACTGCAGGAAGCGATTATTCAAGTCAGCATTGCTGGATCAAGACACAAGCCTGATCCATGTGGGAGCAGACTTATTTCTCTTGCCTGCCCTTGCAGACCTGTGACCCAAGTGCTGCTCCCTGGCCATGGCTGCCTGGACAATGTTCCCAGTACTAAAATCTGGGAGGTCACATTGCACTTTGTGGCAAAAATGTGGGGGATGCTGAAGACTTGGTGATGCTAAATTGCTTTGCCATTAATGCCACAGACTCTGTTACCTCAGTTACCTCATGTTTCATTTAAAATACATTTGCTTGCAGGCGGCAGTTACGTGGTCTTACTTACATTGCCATAGAAACAATCTTCCACATTCCTCTATTTGCTGTGCATTTTTGTTAAAGGCTCTTTCCTTTTCACTTATCCACTCCATCTTTTCATTTGCCAATGCTTTCTTCATTATGTCCTTCCAATTCCCTCACCTTCTAGCTTGCCATGCTGCAGCTAAGTGTTTTTCTTGGTAAAGATGCCCAGCTCACTGCCTCTGCCTCTGTAGGCATCAAGATCCTCTGGTGATATGCCACACAGATAAGGAAAGGGGACTAAATGTGTCCAAGTGGACCTGTGCCTATGGCCACAAGTGTTGGGATGAGGAGAGGAGTAGGAAGTGGAAAGAAGTGTGATATTCCAGTGTCAGACCAGTTGCCCTTGACAGTAATGAAACCAATTTAAACTTCTGCTTTGTGACCAGGGAATGAGGCTGTCCATCAGATAAAGGGCTGTGGGACTTCAAGGGTTGTCTCACTTGGTTCATGTACTGGGAAAGAGCACTGCTAAAACCTCTGTGCTCTATGTAATTATAAGAAGACAAAAGTCTTTTTGGGCATGCTGATTAGACAGAGAGATTTTATTATGAATCACACTCCCCAGTGGATAGCATTTGATTGTTTGCTTCAGAAGAGAAAAGGAAGAAAAAAGGAAAAGGAAGATGTTTAGGGCTTTTCTGATTACAAAGGGTGACATTTGCTAGCACTCAGATTATACCTTGTTTCTCTCCTCCTCCACTCTTGTAGGCAGGAAGTATCCAAGAAGAAATAAGAGCTATTTATGAGAAAAAAAAGAAAAAAAGCTAATATATTCAGTGACTGATCACATAAAAACAAATACGTCTTTTTTTCCCCCCATTCCTCATGGGAGGCTCCTCTACTGCTGGCAAAGAGAGAGGCAATGATGCATCTAGGATCACCTTGCAAGTGATTCAGGGCAGGGCCAAGGACAGAGTGTCTCTCTTTGAACACAGGGGAGGGCTTTCGGTGCCAGGCTGGACACTTCTGAGCTGCTGGAAAATCTCCCAGCAGTGAGCCATGTCACCAGCTGCAGAATTTGCTCCTTTGTCCAGCCTTTGCTGTGCCATGCAGTGGGTGAGGGGTGGAGGTTGTTACCTGGGCTTCTGTGTTACCACTGCCTATTTTCCTTTCTTTTTTATTAGATTTTGTGTTTGAGAGCTTTACGTTTACTCTTCAATGATACCCTTTATTTAAATCCCTCTTCCTTAGAGATGCAGCCATTCTGTATGTCCAGGATATGAAACTGTGGTAAGTGGCTGGAGTATATAGGAAAAGCCCTAAAATCCTTCTTGTCTTGCATAAGAAGATAAACCCCAGAATTTCGTCTCTAAATGGGGCATGAGAAGAAGAACTAACAGCTGCAAGAGTGTTTGGTTTAAACATCAGGAAGACACATGCAGCACAGATTGAGTCCCTTCTTTCCCTGGCCTTAGCAAATCCTTTAGGAGTACCAAATGCAGTGATGATGAGGTGGATGAAAGGGGGAAAGCAGAACAAGATTTAACTGGATTCTTCCCACCCTTCAAAGTGCTCAGGGTGTGCAAAAGGGAACATACTCAGGAGAGCTTTTGATTCTTGCTGGGCTACTCCTCATTTTTTCCCTTGGAAGCAGCCATGCACCAAAATCTGTTTATAGTATATAGTTATTAAGATCACATGTAGCAGTAATAGCATGTGACAGTCTTCTCTTTTCTGAATCAATTTGTACCATATATGAGTCTTAGTTCTGTCAGATGAAGTGAACTGTGACAGTGTCTATCCATCCATCAACACAAATCAAGCTATTCATACATTTACTCTGAGAGCATCTTAGTGCATTTAACATTTTTTCCTGTGGCAGCATTTCCCAGTTTTGTAATGCCAAATGTAAGAACTGTGGGGTCACCAAGTCCTTCAAAATTAGTGAGAACTACATTGGCCCTGCTGATGTCACCTAATTACTTGTATTTCCTGTATGTGTTCTCCTTCCAATATTGCTTTCATCTTCACTTTTTTTTCCTCTTAATTTCATATACAGGGAACTTCTTTCCTCATGTCACATATGGATGTCGTGCACAAACTCACTGCTGACCCATAAAGATGATCCAAGTGCTATTAGCTAATGGCAGCTATTAGTGCTGCTGGCTTACTGGTGTGGAAAAGCCAGGGCTTTTAGAATAGAAATGCACACTTTTTCGGTCTGCTGATGTTGCAGTGCAAGTTCATTATTAGAATTGAGTTACTGTAGTGGGAAACTGCTTGAAAGAGAGGCCCCAGAAGTTTTGCTTGGAGGGTCTGAAACATGTATTAGTGCTAGGGCAGAACACCTTTGCCCTTCCAGGGAGAGCAGGACCAACCATAGGCTGCTGCATCCAGTATATTCTCAGCAGAACTTGTAATGTACACAGATATGTCCAAAGGCAAAACTAAATTTCTCCCATTGGTAAAATTTGTCCCTTTTTAACTCCATTTCAAGTAGCAGTTGCCCTAATCTGACTTCCAGGTGACTTTTTATGTATGAACATAATTTTTCTACAAGGAAAGCTCATGGTGTTTATTATTCTATCACCCTGAATTCATAAGACTTTTCAGAACCTCAGCTGCAGCTATTGATACTTTTTATTTCTGAAGTTATTTTTCTCCCTTATCATCTCCAGAGACTTAATTAAAAAAGAACAAGCTATATGAAGGATCAATAACTGACTTGCAGCAAATTATGCTTCCACGTGGTAGCACGGTGGCTATCTGTGCTTTCTGATACTCAGACCATTAGGGGAGCATCCTGACCCACTCTGACTCCATTTCCATTTGCACAGGGCTCTTCCACAGCATGCTGCCTTGTCAATAGCTTTATCAATATGATGAACTACAAATTCCTCCTCTTTAGGTATCCTTCTCTACAATGAGCACAGACACACCCTGCAAGACAACTGCTGTTGCTGTAGGAGAGAGCTTTTTCCTGGTATCGCACTGACCCGAAAAATGCTTAGGGCTGTCTTTACTCAGCAGCCAAACAGGTTTGGCTGGACAGAATAGAGCACAATAAATCCCTTCAATGAGATCCCAAGTGGTGGGTGTCATGTTGCTGTTCAAGCCCTATGACAAAGTTTTGTTTTCACACCACTTTGACTGTCTTAGGGCAGCTGTAGGGAGTTATTGCACCTTCAGAGGTAAGCAATGTTTTGGTAGCAGAGTAAATGGATAGTTCTTTTGCACCTCTCTGCTGCAGAAGTGGCTCTGCTGGAGAGGAAAGAAATTACTTCAGTTTTTAGATGAACATTTGTTATTTTTTTAGTGAGAGAGGTTCCACTGCTTAGGCCAAAGATGCTACGTGACACATAGCAATGATGCCTTCACCAGCACAGACACTGCTGCCCTTGAAGGACCTAGCCGTGTAACCAGAGACTGATGAGTGAAGCCTTTCCTTTTCTGAGCAGACTTAGTGGGGCTGCCATGGACCTCATGGAAATAATGACTCTGCTCTGGGAAATAATGACTCTGGTCTTCTCTGGTCAGAAAAGGTTGGGTGTGCTGTTAGCTACTGTGATGTGTAGAGAGACTGCAGGCTTCATCTTCTACTCACACTCACTTAAAGTGTTCTCCTCTAACTAAGCAATAAGCTGTGGTAAATCACCCTCTTATACCCTGATGCTTTGGTTATAATGTTTCATTAAACAGCTCTAATTGAATGTCTGGAGAAGCTTATATCTCCCACAAATCCTCCTCTGCTAATGGAAAAGTCATGTAAACAAGAATCACTTTATTACATCCATTGTTCCAATAATGCCCCTTCCAAATGGGAAAGACTTGAATCAGAGCAATTTAGTCCTTGTCTCAGTGTAGTTTCTCTTCTGGTCAGTTTTACTGGGAGGAAAAATAAAAGGCACACTGAAAACACGTTAGTGTGAAAAATGGCTGCAGCTTGCAAGCTCCATGATTTCGGGAAGCCATGTTGAATGGCATATTTAAAAACCATTTGCAGAGCACACATTGCCTCCCGGGGCTGACACAGCCACTGAACTTTCTGCCCCTGTGCCTGCTGTGCCAGAGCACGGTTGGTATGCTGGCAGTGTGGGGGCTGATCAATGCCCCAAAGCCATGCGAGGCAGGCAGAGTCTGAATTGCCTCCCAGCAGTTGAGGCACTGTGGCATCCAGCGGGGTCATTCCTAATTTGCCCTGACTTGTAAGTTGTTTCAGGCCTGTAGTTTGGGTCCATGTACTCAGGGTCAGCCAAAGTTAACCCATAAGCTAAAAAATGCAGGAGTATGTCATTGCACAAAACTTGTAGAGAAGATAATTTATAATAACAAAAAACCTGTGTCCCCATTAAATTCCTTATTTCTGGTAGATTTCATGCCGTGGTTCTCCTCTATTCCTAGCAATAGGCAAGGCCAGATGGATCCTCCTGGGACTGGAGACACACTGGCACAAAGGTTTTGACCACACAGAACTCAAATGCTTTCTGATGACTGGTCTGAACTTTTCACAGCATAACTCTCAGGTCCCAGGTGAGAAAAGTCCTCCAGCCCAAGTGGTGCTGTTTCTCTGATGCTTTTGTTCCAGCCTTTGCTTTAGGGTAGCGCTGGTACCAACTTGCATCTCCAATGGGGGATCCATTATCACCTCATCGTTAAAGCTACACTGGGAAAGCAGGACCCATGGCAGGGCCAAGTGCATGAGTCCTTTATTACCTTGTAAAGAGAGGTCGAAAGGCTTCAGCAAGCATTACTTTCCCTTCAATCATCTGAACTGTAAAACTTGCAGGCAAGTCCCTGGTGGGGCCTTGAACTCAGAGCTTTAAAACTCCATCCCCCACTCCTCTGGTTTTCTCAACAACCTTGCATTAATCATTCAGCTACCTGGGTCCTCAAGTAACCTTACTGTAAAAGCAGCAGCAACAACATGACCCTGCAAAAATTGTGTCCTGGCATCAAGCTGCATCCTCTATGTGTCCCCTGTTTGCTATAGATCACTAGGCAAGACTTCCAAAAGACAGCATGAGCACTCGTTTCCCTGTCTTTGATCATCAGGTGCTGTATTGCATGGGATACTTTGAATTCTCTAGTCTATTTTGGGGGAGGAAGGAGGAAAATGAGATCAAGGCAGTCACTGAAGGCAGTCAGGCTCAGACTATTACTGTGCTATGTTTAAAATATTTAATTCCACAGTATGAGTCACTATGACTTGGCTGCTATTGACCTGGGTAACCTGAGTCAATATTGCATAAAAGGCCCTCTCATTTTGTCACTATAAATAAAATCTGTGATTATTCATAGCGAATGCTAAATTTCTATTACCATAAGCAGACTTACAAGAGCATTATGCTCCAAGATGTGGCTGTGTCACTGCTTGTGGGTCATCTGGAGCTGCCTGCATGGGTGACTGGCTTGAAAGGGGTAGTGCTTCTGCCCTCGAGCATTTCTGCCCCGCCTGGCAGAAGGGGAAGCCTGCTTTCATCAAAAACAAAAACCACTGAAAAAAATTGTGCAGTGATTGCAAAAACAAGAAAAGAAGCCGAGAGAGAAAAAAATGAAACAAGCTAAACATAGGGAAAGGAAAAGAAAGAAAATGAAGTTGCCCCCCCTTCCTGCCTCTCTCAGGGCTAATTTTCATTATTAGCTGCTGTTTTATGGCACCATCCCCTCCTACTCCATGTGTTGTAATTGGGCTGGCACATGCTCTGCACATCCTAAAGGGACATGGTAATTATTTGTTGGATAACCAGAAAGTCCATGCAGGGATGTGTTTGAGAGGAGCCAGTGACCAGTGCCATCTGGTCCTGCCTGTGACCAGTCCCATGCCAAACCCACTGATGATCCCAGCCCATCCTACAGAGCCTTCTTCCTCCTCCAAAGGTTTATAAAAGCTCCATGGATAGCACCAGGTGCCTCTGAAGGGGCATGAGTTGGCTGAGCTGCCTCATCATGCACTTGAGGGGGCAGATACCAGGGAGCCCAGCAGAGATGTGGGGCACTGTCACCTGTGTCAGTGGCTGTGCAGACCAGGCTCAGACCAGGAGCAGCTCCAGCCAGTGGAGGATTAGGGTGAGTAAGGTTCTGTGCTCTAAAATAGAGGGTGACACCTTGAACAAGGGGAGGGTAAAACAAAGGGATTGGTGTTCTATTTGGATATCTTAGAGCTGTCCTTTCTAGTGTTGTATTCCTGTATTTCTTGAGGGTAAAGCACCATGGATGAGAAAGGCAATTAGACAGTGAAGTGTGGCCTCTTGATTTTGTCTGAGTTGTGGCACTGAAAGACAGTCCTTAATTGTCCCTTTGATTGTCGGGGGAACAGCACTAATCTGCTTCCCACCCTCACCCTGGGAGACACAGGAGAGAGATTCCCCTGTCCTGCAAAGGGATCAGCTGAGAGCACCCATGGGTAGAGAGATCTTTAGGAGATGGATTGTGGTGCTTGCACTGCAGCTTTGCCAGGGAGTCTGTCATGGAGACATTTTAATGTTGATCTATGCCTTAATAGTAGCTTTAATAGTATTGAAACAGGAGAGTGACATCCTTCAACACAAACTTCTGTCTCCCCATTGCATGCCCTACCCTGCATCAGGTTTTCTCCCCAACCCCAGTGCTGGTGCTGCAGAGAGAGGGTCTGTTTCCACCACTGCATCTCACCCACCTCACCTTTTTGTCCCACACAGCACAGCAGACGTGTCACTGACCCACGGTGCCTTCCGACATCAGCCTTCTGTCTGCAGCTGACTCAGTTTTCTGTATAAATCACTCTATCAGGTAACTCAGCTGCTCAGCTTGATCTTCACACTAGGTCCTCATACAGATGGCAGAGTCTGTGGCAGGCAAAAAGGTCTTCCTCATTAATTACTTTACTCTTGCCCTGTACTGCAGACATCTCTATGTACAAACCAGGTAAGTAGATATTGTTGGCTTATTTTATATCTGGGAGAATTAGGTCCATGGCGTGATCAGCATGGTTTAAATAGAAAGAGACAGATGTTAAATGACTTTCCTAGAACATTAAGGTGCTCACTGTCCCCAGAGTCCTTGGCTTAGATTCACTAGCAGAGACCATTTTTATAATAGATTGGCAGTGGGTTGCTTTTAAAAGATTTTCATGTTTGAATTGAAAGATTCATCTTAAAGAAGTACCTGACTATGTGTGTGTCATGACAAATACAAGCACAGAGGTTGCCAGCTTCTGAGCACAGAGCTGGAAAACAGTGAATAAATAACCTCCTGTTATTTACCAGAGGTTTTGGAACTGGGACTAAAATATGGGATAGACTAGTCACTGCTTTTTCTCATCCACACAAGTTTCACTGTACATGTTAATTGTTACCAAAGTTACTATTTTTCCTGAATGCATTGGAAGCTATGTGAAGTTTTGCAGCCCAAGTAACAAATGGAAATTTGCTAAGGCAATATGGCACTACTAAACAGATAACCTTGCTGGAAGCTCAGATACAGTTGGCACTCCCCTCTGCTGCTTGCACAGTCCCAGATAAGCTCTGTTGAATTAGCATCTTCCCCTGGATTGCTCATCTGCTATATTTCTAACTCACCTTTGGACTCAAATATTTTTACACTAAATACTCCACTGTACTCAGCAAGCATTTACACAGCACTTGCATGGCTGATGCTCCAGTGTACACAGAGCCGTGGGGGACAGGTTTTCAAAAATGTGTGTTGAGTATATGTTTAAAGATAGAAGAAACACCATAAAATTTGGAACCATTTCAGGTTTGAGAGGGGCAGTAAGCCCATGGCAATGCTTAGACTGGAGGAGGAGGGCTTTGGAAGAGCAGGCTGTTGACCCCAGCACTTACAGGCTCCTACTGAGAGGTTTTCTCAAAGCCAGGCAGAATCACAGACTATCCTGCTGGAAGGGACCCCCAGAGATCATCAGGTTTAACTCCTGATCCAGCACAGGACACCCCGAGAATCACACCACATGGAGTGTTGCCCAAATGCCTCCGGAACTCTCTCAGGCTTGGTGCTGTGACCACTACCCTGGTGAGCCTGTTCCAGTGCCCAAGCACCCTTTGGGGTGGAAGGTTTAGGAACCTTTTTCTAATATCCAGCCTAAACCTTTCCTGACACAGCTTCAGGCCATTCCCTCAGGTCCTGTCACTGGTCACCAGATAGAAGAGATCAGTGCCTGCCCCTCCTCTTCCCCTCACAAGGAAGCTGTAACTGCAATGAGGTCTCCCCTCAGCCTCCTCTTCTCCAGGCTGAACAGACCAAGTGCCCTCAGCTGCTCCTCACAGAGCTTCCCCTCAAGGCCCTTGATCATCTTTGCTGCCCTTCTTTGGACACTCTTTAATGGCTTAGTATCTTTCTTACATGGCAGTGACCAAACAAGTGTCTGGTTTCTCTGTCCTGTGAAACAGTGCTAACACCTGGCACCTGAGCTGCTGTCCCAGGGACCTCTGAGGACTTCGTCAAGAAGATAGAAATGCTGAGATACCACACACAGCTGGAAAGACTTGTGTAAAACATCTCAGCTGAAAACCCTCAAGTGGCCCAGGTTGGCTGTTGTCATGCTCTGAATCAACAATCCTTGACACCTGCTGACTCAAATGTTTCCACCAAATCTCGCTTGCATTTGCATTAGTAAGCTGCAGCTAATGTTTTCTTTCAATTTTTTCCCTAGGAAGTTTTCTAGCAAACAGAAGCCCTATCAATAAGGAGGAACTTTTACATAATGAAAATTAAAGAGTTTTTCCCCCCTTCCCTTTTCACTTGATTTATAATGGTTACTTTAGAAATACTCAATCTTCATATGAGACCAAAAGCAAACTCCATCCCTGAATAAACAAATTTATATTCATATGTATGTACATCCCTATGTACATATATATTCCTGAACACATAAAAAACCAAGTGCATGGCATTGCTTGGAGTTATGTGGACAGTTTTGGATGCCTATTTTATTTATTGTACTTCTATTTGAGAGGAAAATTGGATTTGGGCCCATATATCTCTGAGGATGCATTATTCGACTTTTAATCTACATCAGACTGTAACAAAGCACATCGCATATCACAGCTTCTGCTACCTCTGATACAAATTCTGTATTTCAAGAATATTTATGCATACAGGATTATTTAGCTTGGTGGCAGAGGTGTTGCATTCTGCACTTTTTTTCTGAAGAGTATTACTGGGTTTACTGTTTGAATTGACTGTTCTCATCAATTCCATTCTATGGAATGGGCGGATATACATATTGACTGGTGAATAATGACAGTCCCCAGTAAACAAAGGGGTTAACTTTGCATCTCTTTTCCTCTGCTGGGGAAAAGCTTCCAGGGATGGAAAGAATGGAGGGTCCTTCTCCACTATTGAGGAAGGGATGAGACCCAGCAAGGAGTGGATCCCAGGTGGTGTGCTCCTGACAGTTGCTAGTTTCTGCTATGAAACAAATGAGAGGAAGGACATTAAAATCTGCTTTGCATGATTGAATATGTATTTATATATCTGCACTGGACCAGTCCGATTTCAACAAGGACTTGTCTAAAACTTCTCTATTCAACCATGTTATTTTTTCCACTTGTCTCCCTAAACCCAGCTCCTGTAAGTACTTTGACCCATCCTGGACTTTAAAAGGAAGATCAGCAGTGCTGATCTCTCTCAAATTCCCCTGAGGGCAGCTTTTTCTCCCCTGTGCCCTAGACAGTCCTGTCAGCTGCTGTGCTCCAGTGACAGGATGGCTGCATTTCACAGCAAACGAGATGCTTTATTAGCGTGTGGCTGTAAAATACTTTGAAACTCTAGTAGATGAATAATGTTGTATCATAAATATAAAATGAATATTGGTTTATGGTTCCTGAAATATTAATTGGTGCATGGAGTCACTCTTGGAATGTTTTTTTACTAAATGTAAAGATCTTTTTGAGTTCTGAATGTCCTTGCTTTGGTTTTTTATTATTAATATTCCCTCCAGGAGACATTGACTTTCACTTCCCCTAGACATGCTGACTCCTGCCTGCCAGAGTGATTCAGCAGCTTGCCACTCACTTTTACAGAAGGAAAGTTTTCTCCTGGCTCCTTCCATTGGCCTGGTGTGACATTGGCTGCAGTCGAGGGACATGTTAGTGTGGCTGGTTGACTCTTCACACTGACTTGCTGCTGAGCTGGGCAGCTCTGAGCTCCCTGTCTAGCTCGTAGCTCTGTCCCTTATGCAGGGAAGAAGGTCCCCATGGAGAGCATCAGGTCTCTCTGCCTCACAGCTTTCCCTTTTCTAGGCAAGATCATGTTAAATATCCAAAAGTTATTTATAATTGAGGTTGGCTCCTGACTATCTGTCACAGTCATCCAGGTCTAGAGAGGAAATTCTACAGAAAAATGCTGCTTGTTTGTTCAACTGCAACAAAGGCCCATAAATATTGCAAAGGATAGGAGGTAATTAACACTCCTTCCTTCCTTCCTTCCTTCCTTCCTTCCTTCCTTCCTTCCTTCCTTCCTTCCTTCCTTCCTTCCTTCCTTCCTTCCTTCCTTCCTTCCTTCCTTCCTTCCTTTGCAAAAATGGGGATAGGCCATTGTTTTTAATTGAACCCAAGGAGAGGAGACTCACATTACAATATTTAATTGCATTTTTTTCTTCCTAATAAAGTGTTAAATACCTGTCAGAGCTCATAAACATAAAACCTAGCATAAACCAAACCAGAGACAGAGATGCATATACCTGCATGCAAACCACCTGACTGGTGTGTTTTATTAGAGCATGGTATATGAAGCTAAATTATGTGGGGCTTACGGATCCTTAACTTACATATTTTTATTGATCTCTTGTCACTCTTAAAAATATATTACAGAGGAAAAGAATACAGTCTTTGATACTGAAAAAGAAATTCAACTGCAAGCCATAAAAGATCTGAGAAACTATAATTCATTGTGTGGGGCTGACAAAAATGTAAAACATTTGGTCGTAGCTAATTAGTTTTTAAAATTCTGTGTCACATGCCTTTAGAGACCAAATCAGGAATCAGTGTTGTAGTAATTCATGGGACAACTTTCCTCGTTGCCCTGGGGTATGCGTTTTGAAGCAGACACCTGTGCACAAAATTTTCATATCCCCCAAATCACCCAGTGATCTTCTCTGCCCCTTGTCCTCTTCCAGACCTGGGAAACAGGGTGCCGGGGTTTGAAGGCCAGATTTCCACAGCAGCATCATTTCTGCAAACCTAGCCTCTGTCTGGGTCCCAAACTGGGGGAATAAGGCCCACCAGTGTGTGCTCTTCTGTGCTTGGACACAGCACAGTTTCGTACATGGAGACCCACAGCGGTGCTGTGGGAAGAGCTGGGGCATGAGGGGCTGGGGGCTGGCTTGCCCCCTTGCAGTACCCTCCAGCAGAGTGGGAATAACCCTTGTCAGCACGGGATGCAGCACTGATGGTGAGGTTGAGGATACTGTGTTTTGTCTTATCTGGTGGAGAGGAGGTGAGGTGGAGAAACAGAGTGGTTTTGGTGCTGCTGCTCCATGCCGGGTGAGGCTGATTTGACTGGTGTCTGTGGCATGCCTGTACCCTGCTGTAGCTTATTGCCTCAGGTGAGGTGCTGAGTGATTCAGAACAACCATTTTTATATCTTTTAAGAAATGAGTCTGTTTCCCTAGTGGCCTCTTGTCATTGTTGGAATTCAGCTGCTATCTCCAAAATGGACATCTCCCTTAATATTGTTTGATCTCATAACACAAAACAAATCGGATGTTCACGTTGGATAGACCTGAACATAACCTTTTTTTCTTACAATGAAGAAATCCCATCATTTAACCTGTCTCTGAACCCATATTTTTGTGCTCAAATAAAGACAAATATTAAATATGTACTCATATCCCAGAACTTGTTTCTGGTACTCAGCTACTAAAAATTCAACCATGTCCCTTATAAATTGTTACTAATATTTGAAGTTGCTTTTTTACCTTATCTGCAGGAAGCACCTGCACTGCTGCATTTAACAAGAGCAAGAGTATTTCTTCTGTTTCTGCAGAGAGATTTAAAAGAAGAGACTTGGCCAGTTCATATGCTGCTGAAGGTATCAGCAGAATTTTAATAGGTGAGATAATAATGAAAGGAAAAAAAAAACTAGTTTTGTGGGTAGTTTTGAAGCTAGGGCTGGGTTTCTCAGTTTTAGGGCATTTTTAGATCAACTTGCCTGTCTGACACCTGGATTTCATTCTCCTACAACTCCAAGAGGAGGAAAGGTATGCACTTGTCTTGAGCAGTAAGTCTGCTTTGAAAGTTCATTGAAATTCAAAAATCCTGTTTTCCAACAGCCATCCGCTGGCACTTTACGATTCATGCCTCTAAATGGGATTGTTTGTAAGAAACTGAACTGGAGAGAACAGCATAGATTTTAGAAATGTTGTCAGGAGTGTTTCACAGGAACTTTACTCTCACTTTGGTTCTGCTCTCAAGGAGGTCTCTGATCTGTGAGTGACGATAGTGTCCTCAAGACATGCATTTTACTCTTTCAGCTTCCCCTGCAGTCCCCTCCAAGGAGGCTGCTGTTCAATTTGCACTCCGACACACTTTTTGGTGTGAGTCTAGGATGCACCTCAGGGCCATCTGAGATATCTGCAGTGGGGAGAGGAGCATTGCAGAGTGGAGCAAGGCAACTGTCTGAGCACAAATCCCACTGCACCGTCCCACCTGTGTGTCAGAGCTGCCAGGCTCAGTCCTGCTGTGTGCAGATACACTGAAGAGGCTGAAAGAGCCCCACTTTGAACACACACATTGAGTTATTTGTTCCCAAAGAGAGGAAGTGGTGTCACATGCTGAGAGTTGTTTGTGAATCTGGGAATGTTCTGCACTAAGGAGAGCCTGAGCCCTGGCTGGCTGGCAGGGTGGAAACGTGCCTGCAAAGGGCCTGGTGACTCATCCTAAGCACAAGTGATGTGGAACCAGGTAGGAGATGGCTGGCACAGCCTGGAGGGAGGATGCTCCTGAGGACATGGCACACTGGCCAGATGAATCTGAATGGGAAAATCCCTTTATTGCATGTCCTCTCTCCCGTGACCTGAAGGAGAAAGGAGGCTCTGCTCCAGGTACAGCCACTTCTCTGAGCTTGCTCTGCACAGAGGCTTTGGTTATACACCAAGGAGAGCAGGAAAACTGCTGTGTTCACAAAGTTCAGCACATTATAGCCCATTATGACAGTCGGGATGCCATCTATGTCTAGATTAACACTGTGCTGTTGCAGTAGGTGTGTAAATGAGCCTCTGAGGCATTAAGACAATATGGGAAATATTTCACACTTTTCTTCTGGCATTAAGGAGCATAAGATGTTTCTTCCAAGAAGTTTAAGGAGAGAGTAAGACCTCTTCACAGGCAAAGAATGGGAATAACAGTGGTTATTCAGTGCCCAAAACTGGGGGCATTCTAAGGGCATAGTGTGAGCAAGGGGAATTTGCACACTTGGGAGAGGAGAGCAAGAAGGCCACAGAAACTGGGAATGGAGGCAGCAGAGGAAGTCTTCAGCATCACTTGAAAAAGTGTTGGGAGTAAGGGACTGAGAGAAATTCCAGAGGGGGGAAGAATTCTTGAGTCAGATTAAGTCAAGGCTCTGGGCAGAGCACAATCTTCTGTTTTCTAAGGCTTACAGCATCCATGAAAATCAAACTCTTCTGAGGTTTTGCTCAGTGATCAAGGATCCATCAAAGACAGAGAAGACTGACATCACTTCCCCTAAGAATGGAAACAACTTGCAGGGCCCTGAGAATTGTCTTGTTGCTCCTGCCAGGGTTAATATCAACTTCATAGAATATACACCACCAAATTCTGTTTTCCTCTCACTCTGACAGTAGCTAAGAAGAAGGTTTTCGTTCCTTTCTTCTTTGGCCAATGGTTCTTCTGAAACTGAGGCATGAATGAGGGCTGCCTCACCTGCCTGCTGTGGAAATTGCCACTTCTGATGTACCCCTTGCCATAATGTGCATGCCAGCAGAAAGACTTCCACCTGTGGGGACAAGACTGATGCTGACAAGCCTAAACCTCAAGTAGGTGTGGAAGTGCTGCATTAAAAGAATGACGTGATGGGAGGAAGGCAGATGATTTCTCAAGCCCATACCAGTTCCTCTGTGCTGGTTTCCCCTCCATTGCCAAGACAGAAGGCGTGGGATAGCACCACAGGCTGGTGGTGTGGGACTGGAGATCAAGTAGCCCAAAAAGAAGTGGTAGAAACAGGGTTCTGTCATGCATCTCTCTGTATTCAAAGATAAAACCAGCCAGGGTTTTGTTCTTCACTGTGGATAATTAGCAGCAATCCTCCTGGGACAAGGCCAGTGTGTCTGTGGTCCAGCCCACTACACAGATATGCTGGGATGTGAGGCAGCACCTCCCACAGCAGCAGCCAGGAAGCTCCTGCTGAGGGGTGACACTATTGTGGTGGTCTCGGGAGCAGGACCTGAGCCTAGGTCCTGCTTCTCAGGGGCAGAATTGTACCTGCAGCCCTTTGGCAGGGGTAGTGTTCTCAGTGTATTCAGGCAGATATTTCACTGGGGCTGGCCCTGTCTCTGTGTGTCCATCTGAGGCACTTGTTCTTCTGTTCTGAACATGAGGCTAGTTGGGAAAAAGCCCAAGTGGTTTTCTGATATCTGTTGGGGGGCAGGAGGGGTGGGAAGGTGGTGCAGATGGGATAAAAAAGGCTATTGAAGGCAAGTTGGAGAAGCAGGGAGCATTGAAGCAGCACTGCTCAAAGCATACACATAATTCTAGGAATGCCTTGCAAGCTACATCATCATTATTGTAAACTCCCCTGACTGAAACCAACTGCAAGCAAATGCTGTTCACGGTGTTATGCCAGAATCTGGC